CACACCTCCTTTATAGACTGGAACACCTCTTGAGTCCACAAAGTGGTGCAAATGGATTTGCTATTTAAACAACGTGGCACAAAATGCCAAAATTAGGGTTGCGCTGGTCTCAAAATAGCAACAAATCTTGTCAAACACAACATGCCTTATTGCGCCGGGTGTATGATATGAACCATGTTGTAGAGGTGAATTGGACAAACAAAAAATGACCTTAGTGCAAGAGTGTGTATGGGTGTTTCCCAGTACTGGGCTGAAGCTGGAAGGGCATCTGTTGGGTAGAACATATGCCAGAATAGTTGGTGGTTCATTCCGCTGTAGTAACCTCTGAAATAAAGACTAAGCCGAAGAAAAATTAATTAATGAATCACAGAATTGAACGCAAATTTGATTTAATTCTTAAAAAAACTGATTTTCTGATCTAAGATGATGTATTTTGGGTGATTCAGCAATATAAAATAATATATTTGAATCCAATAAAACTTTAATAAAATTTGAAAGTCAACTAAATTTAGATAAACTTTATTCCCAAAACTCCAGCACGACTTGTTTGCTGTCACTAAAATGCTGCATGTACCACCCAGAAGAAGCAGAATTTGCCTCAAAAGAGAGATTTGTGCACATTTGTATTGATGACAGCAGTCATTTATCAAATGATGATCAGGTGACAAAAAAAAAGCGTTATATCTTGGTGAATATTCAGAAGCCAAGCACACTTGAAGTTTTTCAGATGCTGGTGCAGATGTGTTCAGTGCGAGTGCTTTGACATCTTGAGCTGTGTTGTTTATTTGTGGCTGGAGTAGGCCATGTTGCCATCCTGTTTCTCCTCTCTTTTTGACTCCTTGTCTCACTACTACACTGTACAGAAAAAAAAAATCTGTCAAGTAGGGATGTCCACTTTTCTCCAGAGTTCAACTTCAGCCATAAGCAAAAACACCTGAACAGGCTGAAACACGGAACGGGGTGAACTTTTACTGTAGCTGGAACAAAACTTTGCAATACCAGTATCTCACAGCTTCAAACTTAAAATGTACTTACTGTGACCTTTAAAATGGCTATATTATTATGTATTAATCACTTTTTAATGCCAATGTGTGAGGAGCTTCTAATAAAACTTCCTAGGTTGTCTATGTAGGTTTGTAGTCTGATTTGTTAAAGGGCATTTCCTAAAGGGATAGATCATCCAAAATGAAAACGAACTTGCAATTTAGGCCCAATCTCAATTCTACCTCTTAGCCCTTCCCCCCTAACCCTTCGTTTTGCGTGTTCATATCAACGGGATGGGATGTCCCAATTCTCTTTAGCTTGAAGGTTTAGGGCTAAGGGAAAGGGCTAGATAGCCCTTGAAACTGAAAGTTTTCAGGACCACACTCGAAAATAAGGGGTACAAAAATTTCCCAGGATACACCATCAACAACAGCAGCATGGCTGCACACGGAAGGAGATGCACAAATTAGCATTTTTTGTCATTATTATGAATCTTTACAACAAACAAGCATGCTTTAATACATTCATAATGGTGTTTGTGTTTTATCGTCATGTTTAAAATAAAAAAGTTTAAATAAAAGCCGCTAAATTTCGATATCCATTATAATAACTCCTGTATAGTAATAACTCCTGTATAGTAGCAACATTCTGTCACTCTATGGCACTCAAATACCCTGACAGAACAGTCTAGTGGCTGGAAATGAGCTTTTTACAGTGTCTGATTTAATGTTAATGTTGTTTTTGTTTGTTTACATATATGAATATGGCCACTGTGTGAATACACAGTACAATTATGAGTTTATTGCCATGTAAAATCAATACGATAACATTATATCGTTGCCTTCAGTGATTTCCTGAAGATAAATACCAAAAAATAACGCAACTGGAACAACAACAGCAGTCACCATCGTCAATCCCATATGAAGTACAAGATCGTGATGACATATAAAGACGTGTGCAGGTGTTGTAGTGTTGTCACATTTCTTAGGGGTAAATTTTAAAGGTCTCACACTCTGTTTCAAGGGTTTCAAAAATAGAATTGGGATTGGGCCTTACATACACAAAACCTGACATTTTAAAGGAAAATGTTGGGAACCAGGCAGTTGATGGTAATCAATGAATGCCTTCAAGGTAGGATTGTTAAGACAGCTGTTTGATTATCGACATTCTTTAAAAAAACATTCTCCTTCTTTCCTCAACAACAGCAAAAAGCAACTGTGTACAGGTTTGAAATAAGTGGATGGTGATAAAATTTCACAGAATATTAATGTTTGATGAACTCTCTCTTGTTTGAAATATTTTTACATATTCATGCTAAGTGCCACACTCAACGGCATGATCTGTTATCAGAATATCACAGCAGAGGTGTTTCCAACATTTTTTTTTTTACCTAAATCAGGAATTAAAATCACATTTTCTGTCAGTTTATAAGGTCATTGATCCATGTTCATTAAGTTTTTCTGAATTTACAGCTAATTTAATGTTCACTTAGTCAATTATTCATTTTCCTTTGGCTTAGTTCCTTATTTATCAGGGGTTGCCACAGTGCAATAAACCACCAACTATTCCGGCATATGTTTTTACGCAGCAGATTCCCTTCCAGCCACAACCTAGTACTGAGAAACACCCATACACTTTTATAAACACACACTCTCATACACTATAGCATATATCTTTGGACTGGGGGGGGAAACTGGAGCACCCGGAGGAAACCCATGTAAACAAGGGGAGAACAGGCAAACTCCACACAGAAATGCCAACTGGCCCAGCCGGACTCAAACCAATGACCTTCTTGCTGTGAGGCGACAGCGCTAACCACTGAGCCATAGTGCCGCTGTCCACTTAATGTTATTCATTATTCATAGATTGTTAATATGTGCCATGTGTGTTTTATGTACATTACTTTGCTCAATCCTGGCATGTTGTCAAAACAAATGACTAAAAAAACCTTCACTGAAAATTAAAACACTGTCATAATTTATTCAATCAACCGTTGTGACTTCCTGTGGAACACAAATAATTCTGTCAAAGGTTTGATTACCATCATTCTTCAAAACGTCTTCTTTTGTGTTCCCTAAGAAAAAGTCATAAAGGTTTTGATCGATTTCGGCATGAAGGATTTGCTGAAAATGACACGCAGGTGTGTTTGATTAGGGTTGTAACTCAACTCTCCAAGACAGCGACTCTCAAGGCCTGAGGCTCAATAGCCTTGTTTTACAGTCTCAGCATAGTACGGCAGATCGTGATAATCCAACATCTGGTAGTTGTAGTTGTAGTGTGCTGCATCCTCCACAACCTAGCACTTAGAACCTGTGTGTTTATGGCGTTACCTAATTTGCATAAATCTGTCAGCACATCAAGTGCTACAACAACACAGACAGCATGTCCAATACACAACACCCTCAACTACTCATTATCTTCTTGTTTTGATTAAGTGCTAATTAGGGCAGTACAATATGCCAATATATATTGTATGGACAATATAAAAAGTCAATCATTTCATTTATTTTATGGTGTCGCAAAAAACATTGTTTACTGTAATACCTTTTCATAATGTATATGACCGCAATATTATGCCTCATTATGGAGATGCAGACAGAAACATGAACAACAGCATCTTAAGAAAGATTTTCAAAGTACAACGTCTACACTGCTTTTTATTTAGCAACCTTTGTTATTTTTATATTGGTTCTATAATCATTCATATTTTTAAATATTTTATATTTTTATTCATATTCATGTACATAAATATGTGCGTTGCGTACATACAGAAATATGCATTTTCCTTTATCAAATATTTGCCCTGAAGGTCTAAATAAAGTGAGAAATATGAGAAATCAGATACAGGAGTAAATTCCTGAGTATACACTTCCAACTGTAAAAAAAGAAACATTTACATGTGGTCAACATAATTTTATAATACTATTAATAAATAGAATTTACAGAAATGGTTCGATATCGTGATATATATCGTTATCACAATTTGAGACATTTATAGTGATATATGATTTCTGTCATATCGCCCAGCCCTATCTGTAATTAGTGGTGGAAAGAGTACTGAAAGTTCATACTCAAGTAAAAGTACCATTACTTGCCCAAAATGTAGCTCAAATAGTATAAAAGTATTTTTTGTAAATATAACTCAAAGTATGAGTAAAAAGTGGTCCTTTTAAAACTACTCAAGAGTTGTAAGTAGAGAGTATTATTCTATGAAAGGCTAATGCTTTTATATGCAATTTGTGCTGGTGTGTGTAAACGTAACATTCTGTAGTACATTTAGTTATTGTTTAAGACTCTTCTCTAATTTTTAGACTTTCTAAACCAGGGATTACCAAACTTGGTCCTGGTGGGCCAGTGTCCTGCATGGTTTAGTTTCAACTTCCTTCGACACACCACCCTGAAGTTTCTAGTATACCAGAGTTTCTACAGGTTTTATCAAGTCAAACTCAAGACTTTTAAAGACCATTTTAATACCATAATGATTGAAATTTCAGACTTACACAAAGCCAAATGCTAAAGATTTTTTTAACGGGCCAATTTAAAACCTTAAAAACGTATGTTATTGTAAGGAAGATAATTAAAGCACCCTGGTCTCTGGGTCATTGAGTGTAAAGATTTTGACCATCTCCTTGGACACTTTTAATGCTTTCAAACAGTTTGCTGCATTTATATAGAGCCCATGTCTTGAGGTGGTTCAGTATGATGGGTTTTTACTTTTTATGTGCGATTTGATTGGACAAGAATCACAAGACTGATTTTTCTACTTAGCCAATCACCATAGACAAGAAAAAATATAGTAGTGACTGCAGGTGGAAGGAAAATAGTGGAGTAAAAGTACCAATACAGCACTACAAATGTACTCAAGGGAAAGTAAATGTACACGTTTTACAAAAAAAAAAGTACATAAATTACAATTCCTGAGGAAAACTGCTCAATTACAGTGATTTGAGTATTTGTAATCTGTTACTTTGCATTACTATCTGTAATGAACCTTGAATGTTGGGTCATTATCTTACCGCCGTTCCTTCCACAATGTCTCTCCAAATAGGCTTCTCCCCAGTTCCCTCGCTGAAGTCCAGCAGGTTATCCACTACCACTTGACCTATGAGGTCGTGTCTGGAAAAGCGGTCAAAGTCGTAGACGGAGAAGTGGAGCTTGCGCGCGTGCAGCTCAGCCAGGGGCACGCCGAACTGGAACGTCTCATTAAAGACCGGGTTGAGAGTTTTTCTGTGCACCTGCGAACAAGAGCCACGGAAAGACAGAGCGGAAATGAGAGAAAGTGAAGGAAATTAGATAAGTGAAGGAGCTTAGAGGGAAAAGTGAGTGAAGGGAGCGAACAAGAGATTGGTTAACATCAAAACTGTGGACGCATAAGGCTAATTCAGAATGCACTGGCTGATATAAATGTATTTTTAGATGAACTAGGGCACTGGGAAAAAAGAAATCTGCAGGCAGGCAGGCAGGCTGAGAAACACATCCAGATCTTAATGAGTCCTAAGAGGGTCTGCCATCTGAACAGTGGATTATTGTAAAAGCCGTGAGCTGACTGCTGCCTCGCTAGCATAAAAAAAAGATACCTTGGTCTGAAATTTCTTCTTCCTATCAGGCAGTAAGTAGATCTTGACATAGGGATCGGAGAAACCATTGGCATCCTTCGCCGGGAGGTCCAGGGCTTTCAGGATCTTAACCACCAGCTGCTCCGTGCTGTAAGAAAGACATGTCAACGTCACCCTAATTCACTTTGAACTATCTGGAACTTTCTGCACTCGCGAGCCTGGGCTTGAGTTTATTTCAGCATCATCTAACCGGCAATGACAAGAGAGTCGGTTTATGTTGAAATAGGCTGACATCCAGGCCAGCATCGCGACGGCAATGCAGCACTACTGAGTTCAGCGAGCCTCAATAGCTGTCACCGAGGTTCAACAGGGGTGGGGGAAATAGAGGAGGTGCCAATGGTACAACGCGACTCAACGGCTTGGAATTAATTGACAGACGGATGGAGCCGTACTTGTGCAGCGCAAGCTAAATGGATCTTGTAGCAACGTGAATATATGAGATAATACATCCGTAATGTGAATATAAAGACATGAATATTTGATGTGTAATGCAATGACTGTGGTCTCCAACACCGGACTTTATAAATAATCTAGAGCTTATTACGAAGCAAACCATAGGTCATTTCATGGCTAGACTACAGCAGGCTTGTTGCGGTCTGGTGCCAAGCGCAGCACGACCGTGAACTTCAGAAGCGCGAGGCTCATCCTGTGTTTTGCGCAGATGTAAATAAGAGAGGCGGGGGGAACTTCTGTGGTTGCTAATCAGGCCTTGTTAGAATGTGTCTCTCAGCGTTAACAAATGCGTCACCCTTTCATTAGGACACTTAAACAAATCAGCAACACTGGGGGAGGAAAAACACAAGCAGAAATCCAATACGGCACAGACTGGCATGCTGCTCACAAAGAATGTGGATGACATTACACAAACCTCAGCCAACGAGGACGGAAATAAATATATTAATCATGCAATATTAGCATCCAATTTGTAAGTGACAAATTTAATCATCCAATACTTTAGAATCATAACAAGGCATTGATTAAATGGTTATTCCCGCTGACAGACATTTGAAGTGACCTGAAGTTATTCATCTGTTTTCATGGTCAGTTTAAAGATTTCCAGCAGCATGCCATTATAACTGTAGGTGCATTATTTGCTGAGTAAGAAAAATTACATATACAGAAGTATTCGCACCCTTTGCTTAGTACTTTTTGGATGTACCTCAATATAAGCCTGGCATAAGCCTGGCACATCTATCTTTGGGAAGTTATGCCCATTCCTCTTTGCAGTACCTCTCAAGCTCTATCAGGTTGGATGGGAAGCGACGGTGTAGAGCCATTTTCAGATCTCTCAATAGATGTTCAACAGGATTTAGATCTGGGCTCTGGCTGGGTCACTCAAGGATATTCACCAGGTTGTTGTGAAGTCATTGATATTTTGGTGGTGTGCTTTGGGTCGTTGTCCTGCTGGAAGATAAAACATCGCCTCCGTATGAGGTCAAGAGCACTCAGAAGCAGGTTTTCATTCAGGATGTCCCTGTACATTGCTGCATTCATCTTTCTCTCTATCCTGACTAACCTTCCAGTTCCTGCAGCAGAAAAACATATCCACAGCATGATGCTGCCACCACTCTGCTTTATTGTAGGAATGGTATTAGCCTGGTGATTAGCCTAATACCATAGGCCTGATTGGTGGATTGGTGCACAGTTGGTTGTCCTTCTCCCCTGTTCACTCAGCTTAGATGGCCGGCCAGCTCTAGGAAGAGTACTGGTGGCTCTTAACATCTTCCACTTAAGGATGATGGAGGCCACTGTGCTTATTCGAACTTTCAGAGCAGCAGAAACTTTTCTGTAACCTTCCCCAGCCTTGTGCCTTGAGACAATCCTGTCTGAATATCTACAGACAATTCCTTTGTCTTTATGCTTGGTTTGTGCTTTGACATACTTCTGTACATGTGATTTATTCTTTTTTTCTTTTTAAAATATTTGCAATAATTTCAAAAAATTATTTATCACATTGTCTGTCAGGGTTCTGCCACTCTGATCTTGTAAAATCTTGTTTTGGTGGCGGATCTCTGACACTACTCGTGTCCGGTCCTGTTTCTGTCTCTGTGTGCGCGCGCGCCGTCGTGGGTGTACGCAGAGTGTGCGCGCTCCTGCTTGACGCGGCCGCGTGCGCGCTCTGCGTCCCTCAGACGCGTGCGCTCTTGTACTCGTGTTTGTGTTTTCGTCTGTCAGCAGCATGGTGTTTCATTCCCAGCGTCTCAGTCTTGTTGGTTTCGGTTTTGGTCGGCGCTGGGATGAAGCATGCATGCTGCATATGTGAGCGCATGGTGAGTTCATTCATCGTGTGCTCGTGTCTTGCGTCTTTTGTCAAAGCACGTGGCTCGGTGTTTACATTGTGGTCACGTGCTTTTGTCGTGTGCTTCAGTGTTGTGTTATGTGAGCGCATGGCTTGTATTGTCTCTCTGTGTCATGCGCTCTCCCGTCTATTGTCTAGTTCCACCCTCCTTGTTAACCCATTATTAGTTTGTCATGTTCACCTGTGTGTCAATTTACTTTTTGCTTTATAATCCCCCTCATGTTTTCAGTCCTTTGCGAGTTCGTCATTATATGTAGTCGATGTTTACCTGTCTTGCTGTGTCCAGTCCTGCCTTGTCGTGCCTGCCCAGTCAAGTTTGTTTGTTTGTTTGTTTGTTTGATTTATTGTTTGTTGTAGAAGTGTTTTCCCCCTCGGGGTTGTTTATTTTGCCTTTTATTTTATTTTTTAATGAATAAATCCTACTTCACTCTGCGCTTGGGTCCTTGCTCCTTTTTCCCTTTACCGGAACGTGACAGTACGAACTCGCCAAAAATGAGGACCCAGCAGAGTGAAGACAGCCCCTTCTCCAGCCGCATACTGCAGCTCATCAGTCTGCAGTCGCTGCGGCAACGTGGCATGAAGGTGGAAAGTTTTGCGGCTAAATTTTGTGTGGCAGCAGAGGGGCTGGGGTTTAATGATCAAGCCCTGGTGAACCTCCTTAACTATGCCCTCGACAAGCCCCTCAATGTCCAGCAGATGCTGAAATTGGGAGGGCTATCTTACCATCAGTTTGTGGAGCATTTGGTTCATCAGGCTGCTTATGGCGAACATCCCAATCCCAGCTCTCTGTTGCCCTCTGCTCTGCAGCTAAAGGAGAGAGTGATCCTTCAAGAGAAGAGGATCCCTTACACCAGCGCCACCTCCCAACACATGTCCAGCCCGCAAGGGCTGACCCGCACTCAAAAGCGGAGGTTAAAGAGGAAGACCTCTGCTGCAGTGTCGGCTCCAGCCCCAGAGCGCCCTCCAGTGTCGGCTCCAGCCCCAGAGCGCCCTCCAGTGTCGGCTCCAGCCCCAGAGCGCCCTCCAGTGTCGGCTCCAGCCCCAGAGCGCCCTCCAGTGTCGGCTCCAGCCCCAGAGCGCCCTCCAGTGTCGGCTCCAGCCCCAGAGCGCCCTCCAGTGTCGGCTCCAGCCCCAGAGCGCCCTCCAGTGTCGGCTCCAGCCCCAGAGCGCCCTCCAGTGTCGGCTCCAGCCCCAGAGCGCAGCTCAGTGCCGGTCCCAGTCCGGCTCCTTGCCCTGCCGGCACCACCCAGACGTCTTGCCCTGCCGGCGTCAACCAGACGTCTAGCCCTGCCGGCGTCAACCAGACGTCTAGCCCTGCCGGCACCAGCCCGGCGTCTTGCCCTGCCGGCACCAACCAGACGTCTTGCACAGCCGGCGCCTCCCAGACGTCTTGCCCAGCTGGCCCCAGCCCGGCTCCTTGCCCTGCCGGCTTCAGCCCGGCTCCTTGCCCTGCCGGCACCACCCAGACGTCAAGCCCTGCCGGCCCCAGCCCGGCTCCTTGCCCTGCCGGCACCACCCAGACGTCTTGCCCAGCCGGCTCCAGCCCGGCACCTTGCCCTGCCGGCACCTACCAGACGTCTTTCCCTGCCGGCACCTACCAGACGTCTAGCCCTGCCGGCCCCAGCCCGGCTCCTTGCCCTGCCGGTCCCAACCAGACGTCTTGCCCTGCCAGCCCCAGCCCGGCTCTTTTCCCTGCCGGCCCCAACCAGACGTCTTGCCCTGCCGGCGCACCCCAGACGTCTTGCCCAGCCGGCCCCAGCCCGGCTCCTGGCCCTTCCGGCTCCCCTCTGGTCTTCAGCCCCGCCGGCTCCCCTCTGGTCTTCAGCCCCGCCGGCTCCCCTCTGGTCTTCAGCCCCGCCGGCTCCCCTCTGGTCTTCAGCCCCGCCGGCTTTAGTTAAGTCGCCTCTAGACCAGCCGGCTCCCCACAGGCCTTCATCCCAGCCAGCTCCCTACAGGCCTCCTGCCTTGCTATCCCAGGCCGATCCTCCTTGGGTTGTCCCTCCTGCTCCACCTTGGAGCATGCCTCTGCCACCCTGGACTGATCCTCCGGCGCCACCCTGGTTCCCTGCCGGGGTCCCTGACCCATTGCACCTGTCCTGGACTGTCCCTCCTGATCCTCCCTGGTTTTGCCCTCCCATCCCTCCCTTGTTTGTCTTGTTGGGTCTGACTTGGCTCCCCTCCCTCCCCCCCTTCATGTCTTGCCTGTTCACCTCCCTGTCTTGTGTTTGTTGACGTTGCCTGTTTTGTTGTCTTGTGGTGTTTCTTGTCTGTCTTGTACCTTGTTGGATGTTCCCTTTAGGGACGCCAGGTGGCGTCCCTTTTGGGGGGGGGTAGTGTCAGGGGTCTGCCAATCTGATCTTGTAAAAACTTGTTTTGGTGGCGGATCTCTGACACTACTCGTGTCCGGTCCTGTTTCTGTCTCTGTGTGCGCGCGCGCCGTCGTGGGTGTACGCAGAGTGTGCGCGCTCCTGCTTGACGCGGCCGCGTGCGCGCTCTGCGTCCCTCAGACGCGTGCGCTCTTGTACTCGTGTTTGTGTTTTCGTCTGTCAGCAGCATGGTGTTTCATTCCCAGCGTCTCAGTCTTGTTGGTTTCGGTTTTGGTCGGCGCTGGGATGAAGCATGCATGCTGCATATGTGAGCGCATGGTGAGTTCATTCATCGTGTGCTCGTGTCTTGCGTCTTTTGTCAAAGCACGTGGCTCGGTGTTTACATTGTGGTCACGTGCTTTTGTCGTGTGCTTCAGTGTTGTGTTATGTGAGCGCATGGCTTGTATTGTCTCTCTGTGTCAT